TTTTATGAACCATCACAAGTTATGTGGTTAAAAACTACCATCACCTCAATTGCCTCTGCCAAATGATTAAAACAACTGCAAACGGAAAGAAAAAAAAATCAATAATTTTGTATTTCTCTATGTCTTCTGGTCGAACTCACCACCTTCAGCTTCTTCCATATTGATCCGACCTGAGTAATAATATATATACACAAGTCAATCTCTCCTCTATAACCACAAACTATCACTCGTTGTGTTTCAACTTTGACGAAACAATTTCGATACATACCTAGCAATGATATTAACGACGGGGCTTCCCCTGATCCATTTGATTTCATGTCCGTACCTACGTTTCAATGTCACAGCTAAAACTCAGATCAATTGTGAAAGTTAGCTTAAGCGCACATAAGCAGTAGAAAAAAGATATGAAGAGTACCTGTACTTTCCATTGATCTAGTGATGTCTGACTTCTTAAAAGTAAATCCTATGAAGTTGGTGTCTTTGGACGTCAACATCTGCTCAACCAATCCAAAAGTTAGCACCATACTATCGAAACTCTTTTAACAGTATTTTTGTTTTCTTTGTTATATTCATACTCTCAGCCATAACAAAACAAAATCTGCTAGCCTTATCATGTCCTGAGCCATTTCCACATATGTTAATTTGCAACACAGATTTGACAATAGAATTCAAGAGGAGGAGGTGTGTCACCTTTCTCCAAGGACCAACTTGTGGTGTTTCAGATGGCGATCCTTCAACCTACAAGATATCAAGAAACTTGATGAGGATATTAGACATTTTGACTTCTCATTTGGACAATGAAAATTTAAGGATGATCCATAAGACAAAGTTTAAGTTTTAGCAGTTGTAAAACAAGTTTCGGGTTCACCAACTGATCGGTTTTCAACAACTGCATCAGCCCACAAATCATAGATATCAAGCTTTCTGAGATTCTATCTAACTTACTTCAGGGAACTTCTCAAAATTTTGTGTGTCTAGTTCTCCGTCGACAATTGGTCTAAAAGCTGCCTCCATATCATACAGTTTGTCCCATTGGGTGCCATTGAACCACGGATGCGACTGAAACATGAACAAAATCAATCCCAATAATGTCAAGGCAGAAAGTGAGGACAATGAAATGTATCTTTAACATATTCTTTTCAGAAGTCTGACCTTAATTTCCTCAACACCTCTGGTTCCCAACCTTGAATCAACATCACATAGCAAGCGACAAACCAAGTCCCTGGCTTCATCTGATATTTTTGGTTCTTCAGGGAATTTCAAGCATACCCTCCAGTTAATTATCTGAGATGAGAAGGGCAAGTCTATTAAGCAAGTATGACTATTTCTGTTAAAGATCATTTAGATGCATGGCTAACCACCTATGTACACCTACCTTGCGGCATGTTATACGGGGGTCATCAGAACAGAATGGGGGATACCCAACTAACATCTCATACAAAATTGCGCCGAGAGACCACCAGTCGCATTCCATTCCATATCCTTTCTTTAGCAGTACTTCAGGAGCCATGTAGTCAAGAGTTCCAACGGTTGAATAAGCCTATAAAAACGAAGGATAACCACCTAATAATATTAATTACCCTTACACGTTGGATGCGGTAATTGATCTTTATAGTCCAGTAAAAAACGAGTAACCCATTCAACTAGAGAACAAGCATAGATACCAATGCACGACGATTGCGCTTCCACTGCAGTAACTGCTCTTTAGGCATTTGCCAGGGTGCTTTGTCAGAGTCTGCTTTTCCGGACTTGCTCTCTGAATCCTGAGACATCATCTCATCATCTTCTAATAGTAGCGAAGAATACTTATCATCTAGTGGCTTACATAAGCCAAAATCTGAAAGCTTCAAATGCCCACTTTTGTCTAGTATCAAATTATCAGGTTTGATGTCCCTACAGGCAAGAAGAAACAAACGCAAATCAAGAACCAGAGAATATATATGTTTTCAGTTTCCAGGAATAACTGAAGGTAAAATAGTAGACATGGACATAGAGATCGCTCCAACACCCTGCATCACTAAGCTTTTGAAAGAAAATGATGTCAAAGCTTATTATACCTGTGAACATAGTTGTGTTGATGGATTGAATGGATAGCAAGAATGCTCTCGGCGATATAAAAGCGGGCAACATCTTCGGAAAGAATGTCTTCTCTCATGAGTAAAGTCATGATGTCACCCCCAGGTAAATACTCCATGATAAGATACAAACATTCAGAATCTTGAAAAGAGTAGAAAAGCTTTACAATGTAACGGCTGTCAACTTCAACAAGTAAGTTCCTCTCGGACCTGACATGCTCAACCTAGACAACGAAAACGATCCTCCTATTACTCATTTGTTTCTCTACAAGCACAAACTTAGCTAGTGAGTTAGAGGTACCTGTCCACGGCTAAGCATCTCAGTTTTTTTCAATTTCTTCATGGCATAAACCTCACCGGTAGATCTCAAACGGCATAATCTAACCTGAAGGTATAATAAACAGATTCAGAGATTAATTAAAGAGATCTGATTCCGTTCCATGGTAGATTGATCTGTGGCTGGAAAAGAAGATAATGTACCTCACCAAAGGCACCTTTGCCAATAACAGTCAAAAGCTCAAAATCATCAATCCCAATTTTACGTCTCTGAAGCCTCATGTACTCAGTTTCACGACGAGCCAGATTCCTCATCATCTCGTCTTGTTCTTCAGCAGGTAACTGAGCTTCTTGAACTTTCCGTTGAAATTCCCTGCGCCTGCAAATTTCAATTTGAAAATAGATCAAACACAAAGGTAAATATATATCCTCTCAAGTCAAACACAAGTCAAGCTTTTTTCTGATCGGGAAAATCCGAACCTCTCCATTCGTTCGTGAAGACCTTGCAAGTAGTTTTTGTAATGATTCTCGATGAACTGCTTGGCAGCAGCGGCTTTCTGACGAGTAACCGGAGAAGAAACGGCGACATCAGGCTCTAAATCGAATCCGCGACCTGGCTTGGCGTTTAGACCACCGACGCGGACGGTTCCATCGGCGCCGTCCATTGAAGCAGATGATGATAGAGAGAAGAAGAAGTGAGAAATGAGGAGAGATCTGAAGGAGCTTTGTTGGTGGTGGTGAAATCGAAAGAGGAAGAACGTGGACTATTTAGGAGAGATGAACTGGCAGAG